ATTCGCCCACGAGCATGACTGAAATTGGAACAATAAAACGGCTAAGGCAACGGCAACAAATAAAAGTAAAAAGGGCTGACAGATTGTCTGGCGAGGCAAGTTGGCTCAATCGCTTGCCGTTTGTCATTTGGCCAATTAGTCAAGCGCCTAAGAGTCATACGCACATAGAGGAAACACGTGTTCTCAGGTATCTATGGGAGTTGCCAGTCTATATCGGGCTGGCATTGATAAGGCTGGGCACAATAATTGTCTAAACAGTGTTTCAAATTAAACCAGAATATTTATAGCTTTTAGTCACATAGTTTAAAGGCGGGGTTTTTTCTTTCGTGACAATTCACTTGAATGGTAGCATATATATGACAGTTATATGACGTAATATATTCATTGAGCTGTCAATAAGATGAATGTGTTTGATGTTTCATTCATCTTTGTAAAAATGACTAACAGTTCGTCAGATCTATGATTAGTCTATTAGATTAAGATGCTATGTAGACCTTTGCTTATCTTAGAATGTGATTAGAAGGTATACCTAGCCTAATGTAATAGCTTGATCTATGATATAGTAGTCCTACATATATTTAAAATCTTTACACACCTGAGATTTTGAATACGGAAATATACTTTGTGCTATATGTAGGGTTATTGAATAAAAATTGTTCATAATGATGATAATAATAACGTAATGTAATTACTTATAATACGTTAGATTACCTACAAATTCTATAAAAATTGATAATTGATAGAGAGAGAGACTATAAAGATTTTATAAAAGGAAATCAACAGCAAAACCTCTCCAGCTTCATATAATTGTCAGTTTAAAGTATTGAGCACCTTTAAAGGTCTCGTAAAAGTGCAAAATACTCTAAATTTCAAATTGAAGCACTTGTTCCATATAGAGACACATAACAAAGGTTAGCTAAACTGGGTCTCTGTGCCGAGCTCGCGTTCGGGGTTCACCTTGGTCTACTAAGCAGCATAATCATTGTCATTGTTTCAGTTAGTGAAACCTTGAAACATTTATTGGCATTTTCATTATTTTTTGCTTATTCACTTCCGATCACGTTCAATCCGGCGAGCAGATTGATGGCCGATTGCAAGTGCGCCTTGGCTCCTTTTTGTTATCAGTCAGTAAATGCAGCTGTGAATGGAGAAAGAATCGTAGCTCTAATTATTTTATGGTCTTTAATTTATAATTGTTTTGCACTTGGCCACAGATCGTTCGACTGATAAATTTATCTCTAAGTGTTTCCGATTTGATAGGCAGACCTCAGTGGCTGCTTATCAATAATAACAATCGCTGCAATCGTGAATTGTCGTCCGGCGGTTGAGCCTTTGTTGATCTTGGCCACCGGCTGACACTGTTTGCACTTTGCAGCACCCACCTGAGCTGCATACTTGAGAGAGCTGAAGCCCACAGACTTCCTGTGAGTGGAGTGGTGTGGAGTGGATGCATTGGTATTGGTGTGCTGCACCGTGAAGTGAAAGACTTTTGTGCTGGCCCTCCTACGTGCTGCTTATTGTTGTTTCTGTTGCAGTCAATATGTGGGCGTTAGCTGCATTCACAGCGGATGCTAATGAGCATGACTAGACTTATGCCAGCCGCCTGATTGCTATTTGTCGTTGTTGTTGCTGTTGCGGTTGCTGCTGCTGCCGCTGCTGCTGCTGCTGTTGACAGGCCCTCAGGGGCGTTATGCCGAGGCGTTGCAGATGCGCTGCAGAACAGCAGCTGCTCTTGGCCAACTGGCAACAATGCAGCGTGCTTCAACAGTTGCATTATAGTCCCTCATCGACTTTTGTCTGTCCACAGCAAGAAATGTGGGCAACTGCCTTTATCAGTTGGCAGCAGACGAAATGACAAATATCCATTGAAATGTTGTAATCTCAGAATGCCTGTTAGAGCTTAAAGTCCAGCTAAGCTCAACAAGCAGTTCGATTGTTTGTACAGTTATATATTGTATAGAAGAAGAAGATTTATCTTTATTGAAGCTCTCTATTTAACTAGCTTAAAGGAAATTGTATCGTATTTACTGTTTATTGATGTTGTTCGTTTATCGCTTATGAAAACTAACAATATGTTTTAATTAATTGTGCCACATTTATCTCTTATCGAAGCTTCGATCGATTAATGCTATATATCGTTAAGCGTACCTCATAACCGATAGCTACTGGACTCTGTCCTTTATAGCTTATGGAAACTGAATTAACAAAGAATTCTCTGCTCCGCTATAGCAGTTATTAAGATAATCTATCGATATACATTTATTATAGATTTTTTATTACCATGCACTCAAGCACTTGAATGCGCAGCCGAATGCAATCAGCAGATGACGCTGACAGCTTTCGCTTGTGGTTTGAGTCGCATATTTATTTCAAATGCACAGAAATTTTATACCGTTAAAGTACAAAGACCGACAACCCTCAACTAAGAAGAAGAAGAAGAAGAACATTGTTAAAACAGCGCAGATTTTTCTCTCTTAACCGTTTGCAGCTGCGCAGCGTGAGGGAAAAGCTTTTGAGCCATTGTGTTGACGTTGCCAAAGTTGTCAATGGCTGTGATTAAAGCTGAAATCACAGATTTTCATCTCTCTTTCTCTCTCTACCTCTCTCGCTCTGCCTCCTCTGTTTCTATGTGCAGCTGTCTCGTTCGCTCGCAGGTTTCATTGTGACGGATGTCGCAAATTTTTGGCACTCTGATTTGTCTGTGCATGACAAACACACACGCACACACACTTGTCTCTTTTTTTGTTGTGTGTGTCGAAATGCCGTAATTCTCTCAGCCGGCAGCTAATTTAGTGTTTCCTGCTGACAACTGCAGTTTAAGCTTCAAAGACAAAAGCAAACCATGACATGATAAAGAAAGCACAGAAAAACAAAACCACAGAAAAAGACAAAGAGAGAGTGAGTGAGTGTGTGAGAGAGAGAGAGAGAGAGGGAAAGAGAGTGAAATTAATTGCGAGAGTTAAGTTAATTACAACAACAACAACAGCAACGAGTACGCACAATATGTGTGTGGTGTTCCAACGGGCTGTATCAAAATCGTTCTATGCAGTATCTCTCATAAATTGTACAATAAATGTTGTTGATTTCTGTACAAAAACAAAACAGAAACATGCGAGGCAGAGGCAGAGGCAGTGACTCGTGTTTGGTGTTGTTGTTCTTGTTTGAAAATAGACGACATCCGGTCTGTACAAAAAAACACAGTATATATATATATATATATAAATATATAAATCATATTTTTAGATAAACGTTGATACACACACACACACCCACATATACACACGAACATCGAAACGCACACAGCGAGTCGATGGGTTGCATGATTGAGTTGCTCTTTTGTCATTACCAATCATATTTTTATATTTGAAATGCATTTCGTTTTTGGACTTAGGTGTATCAAATGTGATATAAATATGTGTATATTTATAGAGCGTAAATATAGAAGTTTTAGTCCAGTTTCCGAAAATGGAATGATAAAGCTGGAGACTTTATTTACTCGACTCGACTCTCAAGTTGAAAATGATTTATATATGCGTTTAAATTAAAATCAAATAAAATTATCGATAACTATTTTTTATTGCTTGGTCTGGCAACGCTGCCTAAGAAAATGCCATTAAAATGCAAGAAATTAGAACAAAATTCTATACCAAGATATAAATAACAACCGCATGCCAATGCTTAGGCAATCGATCATTAAAAACCAATTAAAAGTGTTATCGATAACTCATCAATGGCTCAATCTGGCTGCGCTGCCTACACAAATGGTGTGGAAATGAAAATAAATTAACACATTTAATGAAAATTCGACAAGCGGACTAGAACTGAAAACGGAGCGTATGAGTAATCAACGACAGGAAATGGTGACAAATGCGACCCCTTTACTTCTCTATCTTTCGGGCTCTCCCTCTTTCTCTCTCTTTCTCTCTCCTTCTCTCTCTCAATATGTATGTAAATGTGTTGTAGCTATTTGCACCGATAGCAACAAGCCAAAAACGACGAAAAAAAAAACAGAAAAATTTCAATAATTTATTTGGTTTGAATGAAATACGAACGAAGCAAACGGGCGACGTGGCCGCCATTGGGGCGCCCACAGGAAACGTTGACGCTGGCGCTGACGTCGACGCGGACGGCGCAGTCGATGTCAGCGTTGGCTTGGCAACAGTTTCCTGTGTTTAATTTGTTGTTGTTGTTGTTGTTGTTGTTGTCGCTGAGTGCAAACGAGTTACGACAACAAACATATTACAATTTGGTTCAATGACTTTGCCCAGCGATAGAGAGTGGCGACGCTGCCCGCTGCTCGCTGCCCGCTGCTCGCTGCTTGCTGCTGCTTGGGGGCGTTATCTAACCCACTGTAAACACCCATTTAGCCAAAACACCCACAAGCTCGCCTTTTTTATCAGTCGAGCTGCCAGTGGCGAGGAAGGAAGGAAATGGCCGGACACCAGATGAGTGTCGATAGCACTTAAGACTCTAGTTTTCATTTCGTTACCGAATGCCCGCTCGTCTATTGGTCTATGACTTGACTTTCAACTAGCGGAGTATGTATGACAATGCGTTGTTGCCCGATTGCCATATCCTCAATTGTTTTTATTATTATTTGAATTCTTTTAATGCCTTGAACCAATTAAAGCCCTGTAAGCAGACTATATTCATCTCTTGCGTGACTAAAGCTCGTTTAATGCAGTAAGATCATTGAAAGACTTACCATTTCGAGCATATAAAGATCTTATTTGATTGTGTATAGGAAATCTATAGGGCATAGGAAATCTATATATTGCGAAACCGATTAATTTATATCTGAAATGTAGGGGCTTCCAATTTTTGTGACTCTCTTGATGATCGTACACCCCTCTCTAAAGTTCTTTTGCTCGTACATTCGTAGTACCATTCTCTATTGTGTTGCTAACTATTGGTTGGTTTGGTCTTTCCATTAATCATAAGCCCAACTATGCATTCTACCTGAATCTCGCTAATACCCTTTTTCTTTTATTCAATTACAGTTTGTGGACATTGGCATTGTCACCTCAATCGAATCGAATCACAAGCAAATCGAATTTGCACGCAAAGGTCAAGAAATTTGCATCAAAATCGAACCGATTCCCGGCGAATCACCCAAAATGTATGGTCGACACTTCGAGGCGGACGATATGCTCGTGAGCAAGGTAAGAACTAAGAATGATTTAAAAAAATTAACTAAGTTTTATATTAGTTAAGCTAATCATAGGTATATTTATAAGTTGAATTAGTGTATAATTTAAATCTAGATAATTATTTTTAGCCCAAGTAAAAGTCCAAAGTTCTTCAGATAATAATTTCGAGTAGTCTTGGCTAAACGTCATTAGATTCTTCATTGGTATCAATATAATGATTAATTAATATATTCCTTAGACATCTACTATATTTTCTATGTTTCTTCTGTCCGACTTACAAATTCGTCAACTCCCCCCGTAGCTCCCCCTTTACATTTCCATTGCCATAATTGCAACATTTGATTTCTTGCTATGAAACCTAACTCTTTGGCCAAGTTGGGCAATCAGAAGGTGTTAGCTGCAATGGCCATTCGCTGACTTGCACCTGCACCGGTTGGGCGCTCGAGCACCAGGTACGTTTAGCACCTCCCACTCCCACTCCCACTCCCATTGCCGTTCTATGCGCTATCAGCTCACTCGGCTCTTAAACTTTGGCAGTGCGCCATTCGCATTTCCATTGCCAACTTGGCTTATCAAATTACATGGCCAAGTTGTGTAAACTTCGCGGGCAGGTGAAAACAAAGGTGTGCACCTGATTGTGGCGGTGGAACGGGATAGCGGGGGAGGCCACGGCGGCGGGGTAGCCATATAAACGGCATTAAAAGGTCTTTGCAACTTCCGCTAAAGCAAATGGCCAGCAACATTATTTGATTAATTACTTGAAAAAACAAGATTGTTGTAAGTGTGGGACAGTGCTCGACAGGCAAATACCCTGTAATTAGCTGCAAGATGGATATTAAAAGTACCGTTGTACTATACATTTATATCTCTGAATAATCTGTATCTGTATCTGAATTTGTATCTCTACCTATGTATCTGTGTATCTATGTATCTGTATATCTCTATGTATATATGTATCTGTATCTGTATCTATGTATCTGGATCTGTACAGTTGCATCTACTTATCTGTATACGTATCTATGTATGTATGTTAAAGGTTTTGCTGATGTCTGTTTATATCTGTTACACACCTCAGCTTAATCGACTCCCTTCTGTTGACATGCATCAACTGCAGGGTATTCAATAACAATAACATTGCTGACGTCAAGCAGAAGGACACTTTACGTACAAGTCGGGGTGTGCATGGGTGTATATATATATGAGTGCAGTGTGTGTGTGTGTGTTAACTTTTGAAATCGATAATGAACTTAATTTTCGCGCTATTTTAGTGTCGCTTATCAATGGGGCGGCATCAATGACGTCAGCCGCATTGACTGCCAGTTAGGGTTGGCGCTGGCACTAGGCATGAGGCTGGAGCTGGGATCGGGGCCCTAAGGATGGTTGGGCAATTGCTCATTGAGCTCCACTTTGCAGCGAGTTTGATTCAATTAATTTGTCGTAAAAATTGTTTGCCTGTCGAGTTGGGTAATCAAATTTGGTCCGCATCATGTAAAGACAAAGATGAAAAGAGAAAAACACATCAAGGACGAGGCGGGCAGAGAGCGAATTTGTGTCTGTATGTAGTTGCTGTGCGTGTGTGTGTGTGTGCTTTATATGCGTGTACGTGCCCATTCCATTCAGTTATATCTATTTACAGCCGCTTGGCTATTTTTAGAACTCAATGCCTTCTCATGCTATCAAAGGGTATTATGTCATGGCTGACCTGATCAAGGCGCGCCCCAAAACCCAACCCCAGCGCCAGCCACAGCCCCAGCCCCGCCCACTGGGTCTGGGGCCATGCCTGACGTCACGTTTCACCTTCCACGGCAATGCACTTGCTGCCGCATCGTTCATTGACTTCTGGCGTTCTCTCAGCGGAATAACCCAGTTTTTGTTCGTCGGATTTGTTTTGGCTACTCACTTGACCCAGTTGCCGTGCAGCCGGGTTCAAGCTTTTGCATTATGCCACAGCGGCAACGGCTTTGACTTTTTTCTTTTTTATCAGAGATTCTGACGCATTTGGCGACCCGGTTGAAGCGACAGCAACCCAAATACCCAAATAACCCCCCTGGCTTTAAAGCGTAGATAAGGTTCTTGTGGCGCAAGCTATAAATAGCTCAAAGTATGGGGTCAAATGTGAGACTAAATCTAAGTTGAGGCTTTCTTTTATCTGTCTTCTCGAAGTTGCATGATAAAACTTTCATATGATAAGCGATCAATGATTCTAGGGTTACTGCAGTACTATGCAGTACTCTATAATCATGATATACTTAGTAAGCATTTCTTTTAGATATCTATTTCGAGCTTACTTTCGATTATCTCTTACATATATTTCTTATTGCATGTAAGTTATCGATAACATTTCGATAGCATGTTGATATAGGCCTAACAGCTACAGTAAATCTTATAGTCAATTGCTTATCCGATTATATAGTTATTTGCTATGCTCGTTGAAGAAACTAAAATAGAAGAGGCCTAGCTTATGCTCAACTCATTGATATGCATGGCCCATGGCCACTATTGTGCGATACGTCTATAGTTATATATCTTTTTATCGGGACATTATGTATGCAGCTCTCCATATTGAAAGTATTGTTCAAGCTAATTAATATGCAAGTGGCAAAAAAATTATAATTAAATGGAAATGCTAATGGAAATGGAAATGGAGACTAAGAAATGTATACAATCGAGCTGCCTTGGCGTATCGACCGGATGTTAAGAATAATATTTATTGTGCATTTACAAAAATAAAAAAATAATATATATACTGAGTATTTGTATACAATATATATCAAGCAATATCAAATTGAAATGATTTTTTCTGTAGTATTTATAAAATATATAGTTC